ATTGGGCTGATAAGTCCAGTAGTTTGTGGGATTAACTGTGGACAGACAGACGAATACACACATGACCAAACACATGATCCCCTCCAGGCTTAGCCCTTGTTGAAATAAGAAAAACTGCAGTGTTTGCTGTTAAAACTCAACCTTTTACCACATTTTTTATCTTTATAGTAATGCTGCAACTTATTTTCATGCTAAATTAATCTGACAGTAATTATTTCAGTTAATCGTTTGGTCTGTAAAACCTCAAAAAGTAGAGAAAAATCACAAGTTTTTACAATCCCAAAGTCCGATGTGATGTCTTTAAACTGCTTGTTTTGTTTAACCAACAGTCCAAAACCCAAAGATACAATTTTGAAGCTGGAACAAAACAATGTTTGACGTTTGACGAAAAATAGCTGCAAATTATTTTTTTTGTTAGCTGACTAATCAATTAATTGACTCATTGTTCAGCACTACTTTTGAGCACTTAAGAATATTAATTTTCTCTAAAAAGAAAGCCCTCATCCAAAGTTTTAAACCATCACATTTAATCTCAGTTTGGATTTTTGTTGTATTTCACACTGGTTGGTCTTTGACACTATTAAATCTCAGTTTTTAAAATAAACAAGTTGAAGCTCATTAGTTTTACCACAGCTGACATCTCACATCTTTGAGTTCCTTATTTCAGGCTCTTTCAGTTTTAAAGTGAGAGCTGACAGAGAAACTGAAAGTGGAACTTGTATTATTTTCACTTGTGTGCTGCTGCCACCTGCTGGTGACTCTGTACTCTGGCTCAGAGACATTTTAACTGCACAAGTTAATCACAGACAGCCTTTAACTATAGGAGGTTAGATGGGGTTTACATATGTTTGAACAATAAGAAAACATGTTGAATGTTTTCTGTAAGGGATGTTTTCACTACATTAAGGGGAGAGTATTAAATCCTTGTTATTTTATGAAATACAAAGTCATATTTACACAGTTGTAATTTTCTCTGGCTCAGCAATAACTTTGCATTTTCTCCACTTAAACCAGTGTCAGTGAGACTGAATTAGACACTGGCATTTGTGTCAGCAGATGGAGAATTAGGTAAAGAGGTCAAATGTGTGTTTCCATTTGTGCTGGCGTAAATATAGTCGAGCTGGTGTGTGTGTGTGTGTGTGTGTGTGTGTGTGTGTGTGTGTGTGTGTGTGTGTGTGTGTTTATATGCATGTTTGAGGATAAACAGTGGTTGTGTTGGTGAGTGTTTATTTTTGCTCACAAAGCGTGGCCTGAACATCTGTCCAGATGTCTGTGTGTAATTGAGGCCTGGATGACGACCAGCTCAAAGGCTTAAGCTCTGCCTCTGCTGTTACCCTCAGCTGCACTGCTACGTTTAGATCAGTGACTGAAGAAGAATGATATAATGCTGTGCTGCTGTGGGTGCGTTCAGCATTCAGTCTGGTTTGAAAACATCATATCTGTCCTGGAGATATAAGATACTGAGCTAACTGTGGTGCTATCAGGGGAGCAGTGAAGGAAACAGTAAATGTAGACTTACTTTAAAATCTGCCATAAAATAATTGGATTATTATTATTAGTAGTAGTATTGTTGTTGTTGCTGCTTTTGTTCATTATTTACTTTTTACTATAAAGAAATGAATTTAGATTAAATTAAAATTAATTTCCTGAAAAACTTATTTTAAAATTACTTAAGAAATTGTTTTTTATTTATTTATTTGTTATTTAAGACAATGTAAATATAATCTCCTTTTAAATTCTTATTTAGATTTTAAATTTAGAATTTTTTTAAATCAAGAAACATTATTTTTCTCTCTTTTTTTAATAAAAATTTTAAAGGAAATGTCTTTGTTTTAAATTTGTTGTTAAAGAAATTGAGAAATGTAAATATATATGTAATTTGTCATTAAAGAAATAAAGAAATATAAATTGCCTTTAAAAATTTTATTAAAAGAATTTAGGAAATGTAGATTTTTGAAAAGTTAGTCATTAAAGAAAACTAATGTTAATTTCATTGCAAATTTGTTTTCAAAAAATATTTTTTGTTTTTTAATGAGATTTTTTCAACTTAAAATAAAATGACAAATGTCTGTTTTTTCATTACTCATTAAAATATCAATATTTTTTTTTAAGAATTAAAAATAGATCTTTAAAACAAACATTTCAGTCACTGTAAATGCATTCTGTGAAGCCTGTTAATATCTTTGAGATTGTGTTTATTGTGATCATTAGCTGTGAAACAGTAAATCAGTTCATCAACAGACAATAAAAAATAAGTATTTCAATAAATTCATAATTTGTAATTCTTTAATCGAGAAAAAAAACAAATATTTGCCACGTCCAGCCTCTCAAATGTGACGATTTACTGCTTTTCTGTTATTTATATGATTAAAATTAAATATCTTTTTAGAACAAGCTGATTTGAAAACATCACCTACAGTTTTTTTTTAAATTTTAAAGGGCAAATTCACTGTTTTTTTTTTTTTTTTTTTTTTTTTTTTTTTTACAATCTAAAGATCGCACAATGAATTATAAAGAGTTGATTCTCACAACAGGCAGCTGCAGCAGCCCTCACGCTTATAGGTGCTTTTTACTGTGAATATATTTATATGTATCTGTAGCCAGCCCTCTCAGTCGTTAACGTTATGTAAAAGGTTTAACCCTGTGCAGTCATGTAGGTTGAGAAAAGTGTGCTGCATTGGCCGGGAATCGAACCCGGGCCTCCCGCGTGGCAGGCGAGAATTCTACCACTGAACCACCAATGCTCACATATAGTCCAAGCACACACTATAAAGTCTTATATCCGTTAAGATATTGAAAATGTACAGGATTCAGCTCAGTGAGATACACAATGGAACTAAAGTAAGTGTGTAGTCCAAACTGTCCGCTCACTACCCGCTGTGAAATGTTCAATCACAACTGCAGAGAGAGGCTCCTGTGTTCCTGAACTGCATGTAAGAGGGAACTCTCCACGTAGGAGGGGGCTGAGCTGAGGGTTGACAGGGGAAGTGTTGTCCTAGCCACCTCTCTTGCTAACAGTCCACACTTCGTGTTTGGTCCGTGGGGGACTCGAACTCGCGACCCTCTGGTTCCCAGGCCGAGTCTCTCTCCTTAGGTGCTTCAGCCTTCCGTTCATATAGAGAGAATCAATAATTCGTGAAGACAACAAAGCCTCCACAAAAATAGCATTTTAAGTCTTGTGTGTGATTTATCCTGGCTTCATATGAGCAGAGGAAATCTCTGCTAGTTGCTAGGCTAATTTATACAATGTAAAATGCCATAGGCTTGTGCTAATAACGTTAGCATGTTATATTTGTTTGGAAAACATGTTTAGTATAAGACAGTTGTTTTGTCAGTGAACCTTGTGAGTTGTAATGACGCCAAACTGTGTGCCATTACCTTTGTTAAATGTTGCTGGTGTCCCTGGCTTCATTAGAGTTGCCACCCGTCCCGTTTTTTCCCAGAAAATATAAGAATTTAGTAACACAGATTTGTTTTTTTCATTGATATAAAAATTAATATAAAATACAGGCACATAGAAGGACATAGAATGATGGCAAATCTGGTCTCCTATGTCCGAATTTCATGTTCATTGGTCAGTCTGAACTGGTAATAATGGCCGAGCCCTCCGCCTCAAACATTTGGTCGAGTGTCCCTTTTTTTTCCACAAATCCAAGGTGGCAACCCTAAACTTCATATGAGTAGAGGAAAAGATCGCTAGCTGCTAGGCTAATTTATACAATGTAAAATGCCATAGGCTTGTGCTAAAAACGTTAGCATGTTGTATTTGTGGGGAAAATGTGTCCAGATAAAGACAAGTGTTTGTCTGTGAATGCTGCGAGTTATAGTGAAGCTGATTTGTGTACTTGTGTTTGAAATTGTCTCTATTAAGCCATGTTTAATGTGTGTTTAATGTGTGTTTTGAATCAACTAAACTTTGCAGCACTTCACAGAAACCTCCGCTGCCACCTAGTGTCTTGGATGTGTAACTGCAGAGTGACACAGACACACCACTGCACATGTATAAATGCTCACAACAGTGTAATGTAATGTATCCCTCCCTCTGTCTCTCCCTCTTACCTAGATCGTCACCAAGGTACACCCATGCTGCTGGATGGCGTCCGCTGCATCGGGGTGGAGCTGGAGTACGACTCTGAGCAGAGCGACTGGCAGGGATTCGACTAACCCTGTAGCTCCTGCTCCTGTTCCACCTGAAGCACACACACATATACACAAACCTGACCTGAGACACACACACACACACACACACACACACACACACAGCTGACATCATAGAACTGTACAACCACCAAATTTAACACACACCAAATAGGAAACAGCGTACACACAGATGATTTAGTGCCACGTAATGTACATACAGCAAGTGTTCACTGTTGGATTCTAACATACAGAAACATTCCTCTGCTGCAGCTTTCATAACATCAACAGCATCTGAACAGTCAGTTTCCTCCAGCTCACCTTTTTGTCACCACCACGGTTCTGTTGTTAACCTGTGTTTCCCTCACTGCACCTCTAGAGAGCAGCAGCGCTCTTTGAATCAGTGCAGCCTCAGCTCTCTTCTCACCGCCTCCTGTGCTCCAGTGCACACTGTCCCTGAAGTGCAAACTGAACCCCAGGTGAGGCGGTAAATAAGGGCTCTTTTATTAATTAGGTAGCTTACAATTAAATCTATGGGAAGGAATATAAATCTGCACAAATCAGGGAAAAAAGTTGAAGTGATAAGCAAAGCTGAGCCTGTAATACCTCTGTTTAACCACAGGGGGGCGCTGCAGACCGCTGTATGTAAAGCTCCTCCAGTGTGCAGGCTGTTTTTGGTGCTGCAGTGTGGTCACAGTCTCCATTTAAAGGAAAAATCCAACCAGGGCACCCTTACCTTGTTATATATCTTTCAGTATACGAGGTTCATGTTGCGATTATTACTTAAAAAGTTTACAAATTTTCTGCATTTGCATGGAAATCCCAAGTAACGTGTGTGGATTTATTTCAACATTTACAGCAGCAGCAATGAGAAGAGAGGCTTTCCTCTGAGGGAAACATGTGCTCCGGCTGTATGGTGTTAATCTATTGAGGTATTTTTCTGGATTGGACTTACCTGTATACATCCGTGCAAGCAAGTGCATCTATAAAGACGTACCTTTTGTTTTGAGGAACTGACAACAAAATCTGAGGCTTGCAGACTGTGTTTGAGATTTCTGAACAACGCAATCACCACAAGAAAATGATGGCATTGTACATTTCTGCAAACCACAGACACATTTTTATTTCAGAGGTATCATATCATGCCTCTAAAGAGCTCTGATTACTGTAAAACTTCAGTTAAACGCCCAGTCCCTTTTACTAGCCTGGTATGGCTACACATTGTGACAAATAAAGGCCTGTCTCAATTAGAGGCCTGGTCTGGTTGCCAAGCAGTTGGCAACCTTAAATTATGCATCCATTCCTCGATTACTCTGTAAGTTATTCATATTCCTTCAGTCCGTAAGGGTCCTCAGATCAAAAGAATCAAAACGGTTTTTCATAGAAATGAATCCAAGTTGTGATAATTGTTTGAAGTGGTGCCGGATGCCGTAGTCCTTGAGTGCTGTAACTCGTTCTGTCTGTCAGAGCTAGATCAAATGAATGATTCATAACTGAAATTATCTGAAGCCTAATTTTTATGCAAGTACAATTCATCGTTCGTTCAGCGTGAATGGTTGTCTGTCTCTATGTGTCAGCCCTGCGATAGTCTGGCGACCTGTCCAGGGTGAACCCTGCCTCTCGCCCGATGTCAGCTGGGATAGGCTCCAGCCCCCCCGCGACCCTCAAGAGGATGAAGCGGTTAGAAGATGAATGAATGAATGAATTCATCCTGGTTTAAATAAACAGTTTTAATGTAGTTTTGTGTGAAAGGAATTAAAGGCCTGTCCCAAATATAGGCCCCTTGAGTTCGGTTATTTAAGCAAATAATAGCCCGGGCTACTAATTTAAGTTTTACGGTATGTCTATATGAGATGACTTTGTTACCTGAAGGTGGAGGGGATGGAGGATGGCCTGACATCAAGGTGCAGACAGCAGCAGACCACAGTTGGAGACCTACAGACCAAAAATTGGGTGTTGTAAAGCGAGACATCAGAAGCATTTCAAGCAGCAAAAGCAGGCATTCAAGCCAAAATGTGATCTTTTCCGAACCACAACCAATTTGTTTTTGTGCCTAAACATAGCCAGATGTTAACTAGTGTTGTTTTTTTTGTCATTTAAACAGATGACTTTTAAAACAACAGTCCAAAACAAAAACAGAACGACAGTCTATTACAGCAACAGATGCATCCAGATGTACTTCAGTGTCATGGGTCCTTCATAAACAGAAAGAAGTTCTCCCATGACGAGCCAGTAAGTATTCAAAGGAGGCAGCTTCTGTCCTACAGCTAATCCATTTAGCGAATTCTGTTTTGTTTTGTTTTTTTGTATTTTTCCAGTGCTTGAACCACAGTGTTGTTGAAGTGTAAAGACACGTAAAATTTCAACACCTCCACCACATAACAATGTGTAAAATCTGTGGTTTTGAAAAGTGTACAAAGCCAAAGTTTATTCTGATGACTAAGTTGTGCTGAAACACTTTTCTACTGCAAAACCTTTTTGTCGTTAAACTGCAAATGTTTGACTTTATTTGCTGCGAATTTTAAAAAACTAAACAGCAAGATTTAATCAGAAATGGTGGCTGTTTGTGAGGGTGTTAAACAGAGCGAGTTAAAATGACAAAAATTCTCTGAGTCCAGTTGTGCAAATATGGGGATTTCTTTCATCTCTCTGTTTTGTTGTCTTTGTAAATTTAATATCTTTGAGTTTTGGATCGTTGTTCCAACAAAACAAGACATTTGAGGACATTTTTTCTGTATTCCTGGTGTCTTTAAACCCAAATTATTAACCCTTTAATCAAGAAGTAACCATTAGATTAATCAACACTGAAGAGTGTTCTGGGTGGATTTTTCCTTTAAGAAAACCTGCTGCAGCCGGTCCAGATGAGTTTCTTTCTTTCTTCATGAAGCCTTCAGACCACACGTGCGACGCAAAGTGCCTTTCATTGTACCCTGCCGTCCTGTTTCTCCTGTAACTTGAGCCTGGTGTGGTTTGATCATCTCCTGTCACACACTGTACCCTCCAGACGAACACAGGGACCAGTGTGGGGCCCACTGTTTGTTGTCTCTCCCCTCTCCCTCCACCGGCTTGCCTCAGACAGGTGTATATCTGACTCCCATCACTCCTCTGGCAGTGCGAGTGCAGCTCAGAGAGAGTCGACAGGTTGTAAATGAGTTTAATCACCTGTCAGCTCTGCTTCATTTACATTGTGCCATGATCTGGCTGCACTGTCGTCTCCCCTCTTTTTACAGACTCCTGATATTCTGTGTGAATCGACATGTTTTGTTTCTGTTAAACCCTCCTGAATACATCAGCCTTAAAGGAAATGATTCTGTGTGTAACTTCTCAGTAGATTTCAGAGTAGATTTATTAGCTGTTTGCTTGTGATAGGTCAAAGTTTGTTTCTTCTTCTTGGTGTTAAACTGAAACGCTCGTTAGGTTACTGTTTCGAGAATGTAGCAGTTTATTTGTCGACGTCTCTCTTCTGTGTGTGTGGTTTGTATTTTTTAATGTCAAAAACCGAATAAAAAAGAGTGTGAGTTTTGCTGCTGCGTCTTCTGTCAGTTCAGAGCAGGGACACTTGGTGGCAGTCTGCACCGCTGCTCTGATGTCACCTCTGATACACTCAGTATATTCTCATCTGACTCCACTGGGGATTAAAATAATTGTAAAATATCAACATTATATATCAACGTCTTCTGAGAATTTGGGTTTATTACAGGATTAGCTGGTGTGTCAGATCAGAGCAAAAACTAACTGTGATCACTTTAACTTATTGTGTGTTGCACCGTGAGTGTGTTAACTTTTCAAACAGACTGAAATCAGCCTCAGAGGTGTCAGAATAAACCTGTTTTTAATATTTAACAAGCAGTTTTGAGGCTGAGGTACAAAATCTAACTTTTTACTTGTGTGTCTTTTTTTTATTTTTTTTTAAATTAAGTCACAAATTTCACTTTAAAACATTTAAAATCAAACCTATTTTGTCAGATAATCAAAAATATAATAGACTTAATTTTATTTTTAATTTTTTAAATGATAACACTTAAGAGTGGATTCTTTTGTTGCTTTATACATTTAGGGACTGATTTCTTTAGAAATCATCAAGGTTTATTTTTAAAAAAGACTTGTACCCTACTCACTGTTTCACCCTGAAATTAAAAAAAAAAAAAAGTTTTTCGACTCTGCATTTATCTGCTGCTGTAAGTCTTATGGATGTGTTGCACATTTCGTCTTTCTCCATATTCAGGGCTGTTTTCCAACAAAGAAATACTCATTTTGGATAATTGCAGTGAAGATTTTTGAAGGATTATATAGAGATGTGTAGAATTTATATGTTTGCATCTTAAATTTACAGCTACAAAATGCATTTTGTTAAAATTCAGAAGGTGTCAACTATAAAGAAACAGTGAAATCTGTGTTTTCTTTATTGGAAGTGTCTGCAACTACTGACTCACAACAGCTTCATAACTAATAAATAACACAAGCAACAACAAATATTTCACTAAAATAATGTGAGTGTGTAGATGTAGATATTAAAGAGGAAGGCAGGTTTAGTTTTGGACGTTCACTGACATGCTGCCATTTAAATCCACATTATAAAAATAATTATGAGTCTTTAGAGACACAGATGCCTTAGGAGGCGTCACAGTGAGTTTGTGCTCTTTAAAGCTTAAATTTAAAACTTTATTTTCCGATTGGCATTTGATTTCTGGCGAAAATAAATTTAGGATTCATGGAAATTCTCTCTCGAGTTCATTTACAGCCATTTTAGACACAAACGTGAATAACCATTGCAAGTTAAACACCATTGAACGCACCAGTAACACTAAACCTTTCTGCATTAAAAAAGAGTTCATTGTTGGTTGTTTGAGTGATGTTTGGGGAGACGGACTACAAACACGACTAACTGTACAAGCAAAGACAAAAGTTAGTGGAAACTCTGCAGAGCTGCGCACGGAGCGATCCTCCGCTGGACGCTGAGAGCTGAACCCGGACACATTCAGCACCGCTGCACCTCCACCTGCTGCTGCTGCTGCTGCTGCTGACATAAACTATCAGCAGATACAGCGTTTATACAAGAGTATGGTGATGATGCGGAGCTGCGGAGGGATCCGTTTTATCACAACAGAGGAAGGGTTTCATTTTATTTCGTCGCTATTAGTTATTAGTTTCTGTGCGTAAAGCCCATGCGTTTGTGTGTTATTTTAATTTAACAACACCAATAAGTGTATAATTATTTAAAAATGCTTTGAAATTGTGCCACAAAGGAAAACATTTGTGAAGTCAATTCGGCTGCAAAACATTTGTCTAATCATTGTTAATAACAGTGTTAATGCAGGCGTTGGTGCACAGTGGTTTTATTTGGGGTTACATGCATTTAAAAGTGAGGTCGGTGCGTCTAAATGATCCACGCATGTTGGTTATAAATTCTGCAGGTAGTTCAAAAAGAGAATTAATGATATCTAAAGTTTATTTTACAGTTATTAACCCCAAATCTGTATTTTAAATAATCTACAGTTTGTCCCTTTAATGCTCAGAAAACAAGCGACACATTTTGTGCTGCTTTGCTTGTTAGACACAATTTCACATCTTTATATTAATTTATTTTATTCAACTACTTTTTATATGTATGAATCAACAATTAACCACGATGAACGTGTCAGATACAATTATTTCAGCTGCATTTTGTTTATTGACATGGTGGCACTTTGCAGCTATTAAACGGCACTGACAGTCAGTAAATATAAATCCTAACTCCTAATAGATTTAATGGCATGTTTAGGCTTGTTATTATACTTAATGTGTCTGCTTTAAATACAAAGCTGAGTTTTTAGTGGCACTTAGTAGCTACTAAATATTCATATTCTACTAATAAGAATTTACATGTTTGTAAAACGGGCTAAATTTCATTTAAATAAAAGCGAGTCTGCACAACGCTCCTATGCAAGAAGCGCAATTTTTGGCCTTTCAGTTGCGCGAAATTATGAATTCTACACCTGCAGTTTTCTGGTATATGTGTCTTTGTTTGTCTTGTGTAACCTGCTGTATTTACCAGATAAATTGCGCCTGTTTTGCGCAACATTATTTCAGCTATCTTGCTTTTTTTGAGCTGCGAGAAACTGCGTATCAGCCAAGTTGGGTAAAGTTGAAGACCTTGAGGAGAAGGAAGACACGCGATGAAAGAAAGAGATTTTTGTGTGTGAATCTAAACTGAAAGAGGCCAAATCTGACTTGACTCCGGTCACTGGGGACGAGGCCAGCCTGTTTGTTAATGTGTGTAATAAACTGCAATAAACGGCGCGTAAAGGTGCCCACCACTCACATGCGTACATTTAATATGTCCTCTGCTTTCAAGGTTTTATTTCAACAAAGAATCCTGACTTCATTTTCTCTCCTGTATCCAAAAACACCTCGATGTGCCCGCGCACAGTTTGAGCAGCAGTTATACGGCTTTCATTTTGGGAAATTGCGCATTTCCTTCACCTTATTCTGACATTTAGAAATGTTTGTGTGCGATAAAACGCGCTCCGCCATTCATAAGAGACACTCTTGCAACATAAGCTCCTGTAAGGTTTGGGGAATCATAAATAGCTATGTGCACGTGTTGTGATAGAAATGTCTTTTTTCCGCTGGCCGAGTGGAACCTGAACGCCGCACCAGGTTGTGTAAATCTGAAATTAATCTTTCCATAAAATCACAGTCCTATACGTGCGGCCAAATGTTTGCCATTCCTGCAGAGATTTGTCTGGAGCTGCAGAGGGATGTGTGAACTCTGAGTGGCCCGGTGCCCTCCCTCTGACCTCTGGGATTACAGTAATCTCTGTTGATTGATCTGATTGATCAGATTCATCTCCACGAGGCCGCAATCCAGCCGCACACACGAGGCGGGGGGAGGGAGGGAGATGAGGCGCGCGGTGCGTGGTGCAAATAAACATTGTTTTCCTCCTCTTGGCCTGCGGGTGAGTACAGAGAGGGGATGTAGGTTTGTACTCTATAGGCATCGGTTTATCCGCAGCAGCGTGGTAATTAGGATTTTGAGTGCAGCAGAAATATGATTCAAATAAGTTGAGAGGAGTTTGGATTTGGACATCATGACGAATAAACATATGACAGGCTCGATTGCAGTGATTTCAAGTGCAGTCAGATCATCATGTGGTAATAAAGCTACACAATAATGAAATTATTGTATCATCATGTCCTCAAGGCAGAGATCTGACAGAATATTTAAGAAGTAGGGTAACTTATTTTTAATCTATCCTACAGATGAATGAATTTAAATATATATTACACGGGCAATTAAATAAAAGATGTCTTAAAAGAGCCTGTGTGTGGTGGAAGAGTCAGTTCCTTTAATTATGTAAAAGTCCTGCTTTTTAAATGTTATTTAAGCACAAAATCAGCAAAATAAAGTATCATTGGTGCAGGATTATTGGTGCAGTAAACATTTTAATATTGCAGCTGGTCATGAACTTATTTTAACTACTTAATATTTGGTGAATTTATTTCCCTTGATTTAAACTGCACAGTCCTAGTTTTAAAATGTATCTTTTGTAGCCTGTAACCCTTGCCTATACTATAAATCTTTGCTGTATTTTTATAACCCTGTAAATCTGCTGATAAAATTAATTTTGTATGCAAGTGAAATATACAGTGTGTTAGTTAATATGGTGTGGTATAAAAATCAAAATTTCAGTTTTAAACTGTGTTATTAATTCTTTCATTTTGTTTTATCTCAGGCCTGTTTCCTCTGCCTTGTTGTTTTTGGAAACACTTAATTTGGATAGTCCACCTACAGATATTTCAGAGAGTATTTCAACAGCTTATTATTTGAGATTCAGGCTTTATTCTGTACATGTTTAACATACTATCCTTAGAGTGTGTGCAACAATTCATGAACGTATTCTCAGAATAATTCAGTTGATCTTGAAGTATTCACTCAACCTACGCAGCACAGACGAAGAGAAAAGTTCAGCTAAATTGTTTTGAAAAATTGTAGTGAATTGTCACAAAATACTCCGTAGATAAACATCAACAGACGAAGATTGTTGAATCTCATTTAATAAGCTGTTGAAGTATTCTGTAAACTATAGGTGGGCTATCCAAATAACATCCTGTCCCATGTTCTGTATATGTTTATGCATACTAACCTGTACGCAGCCGCATCAGTGGAAACTAATGAAAGAAACTGTTAAATAAATGCAGTAAAACATACAATATTGTCCTCTGAAGATGTGCTGAAGTAGAAGTACAATGAAGTATGAAATGGACAAGTAGAGTGGACAAGTATCACAACAGTACTTCACTGATGCTATGGAAGTTAAATACTGGCAAAACAAAACAATGGGGTAATTGTACTGTCAATTAAAAAACTGACGATTATGACTAAACACTGTCACTTATTTAGTGTTTAAGTGGAGAATTTCGAACACAGGATTTTAGCTTTCATGGCTGTTTATGGCAGAGCGATACACACCATACTTACTAGAGAGTATTTATGTCTTTTTGTGGTTCCCAAAATCACAAATTTGACTTTCCAGTTTTTAC